CTAATGCCACAGAGACATGCATACTGCCTGGAATTCAAAGTAGCTGTTAATAAGAGGAAGTTTTTAGCAAGAGTGGTTCCAAAAGATAAGACTGTCACTATAACACATTGCTTTGAATCTTTTACAGCAGAATCCCGGTTGAATAATGGTATGTTTTGTGAATGCTCTCCAATCAGGTACAAGGATCTCCTTTGCTTCTGGAGAAAATTGTATTTCCTGGAGACTCTCAATTCTGTGGATATAATTAAACTGCTTGCCTCCTATGTTAAAACTGGATGGATATGAAGCTGGTTTTAAAAAAATGCTACTGGATTTCAGTCTATGCTTTAGGATTAGCAATGATACTGGCCAGGTATTCTGTCCCGGGTATCAAAGCCTCTAATCAGTGGGTTCCTCTGTTTCTATGTGCCTTCCACTCATGCTGGGAAAACAATCCTTCTAGTTTTCGCAAACCTTGGGAACTTTTAAGATACATCCCAGAATACCCTAACCACCCATGCTGGATGAGGAATTCTGGGAATTGAAGTCCACAAATCTTAAAGTTGCTATGGTTGAGAAAAACTGCTCTTCTAGGCAGTTCTTTCAGGACATGTGATTTCCACTGATCATGATCCCCTACCCCATTGATTCTTGCCTGTACCTTCCCATCCAGTGTATCCATCCATCCACTAGTACAGCATTTATTTTATTTATTAAATTTATATGTTACCCATCTCACTATCCAAAGTGACTATGGGCTTCTAATAATAAATTCTCCCCAGCATTTACTTTTCTTCTCATCACTGTAGCTGAAAGATGAAAGTGGTAGAACTCTTGTCAATTTCAGGTTTTAAACAAAGCTGGGGGTGGGGGTGGGGGTAGAAATAAAAAGAAAGTTCCACTACTTCACTGGTGCAGGTGAGCCAATACTTCGGATGCCCATCTGTTAAGAGAGATAGAAGCAACTCACCCAGATAAACCTTAAGATCTTTTTTGCAAAGCATTGTGGGATGCAGGCTTTATACAGGTATAATCCTTTCCCCAGTAGCCATAGTGAAAATGAGCATCAGGAAAGGGACATAATGGTAGATCCATAGAGTGATCAATTGGAGCACGGACATTGTCTAGATCAGGAATCTCCAACCTTGGCAACTTTAAGACTTGTGGACTTCAACTCCCAGAGTTCCTTAGCCAGCTCTAGACCCCTGGTCTAGATCAAATGAAAGCCTGCCCAGAGAAACTGCACAGCCAGGCTTGTGTTGACACACCTTGGGGAGGGGGACCCTTTTGAAGTGCAGCAAAAAAGGACATCTGCCAATCTTATCCACTGCCAGGATAGGGACAAATCAAGGGGGATGTCCTCTGTTCAAGCTATCTCAATGTGATTGTTGAAACATTGTTCTCCCAGTTAGTGGGTAATCTATGTGGAAGGCGCTTACACCGAAGCCGAGGGGCAGGGCATTTTCTCTTTAATCTGTTGGGCTGGATAGCCATGCGTATTACTCAAGGTATACCACGTTAGAAGGTTTCTAGCCTATGTTTAAATAGAAGGTATTTTTAAAGCCAGTTTGACTTAGGATCAGAATGTATCTAAAGGACTATCTTCTCCCTCCTAACATGTGAGCTTTAGACTACTGGCCCGCCACAGGTAGAATTCCCTTCCCTTCCTCACATGCACCAGGCACCCACATTAGATCTGAAGAAAAGGTCCTCTTCCATTATTTTAATAGTTGCTCCCTCATTTTTCCTGCAAATTCTCTACTACTGTTATAACTTTTGTCTCTCTACTGCAAGCTGCCTTTGGGCAATGGATGATAAAGCAGAGTGAAAAACTTGTAAGTAAAAATAAATACACTAATGAATAAATAAAACCAGCAAGACACAGAATCATTATTTTGTTTTGCCCTTACACCAGTCCTTTGAGAACATTAGGCTAAGAGAGTTATTGAATAGCCGAAGGTCATCTAGTGCCTGGGAGTGAATAGGAATTTGATCTTATTTCTTTTTTAACACACTGCTTCCTTTTGTGCTATAAGTTGCTTACCAGAAAGAAATACCTACATCTGTTTTCAGAAAAGACTGGTTTTCCCTGGCACTTTTCCTAACAGTTCAGATTCAAGTGATCAAACGGTTAATGTAAGATTAACGCTCCATTTTTACCAACCAACCGCACAAATATAGCCCCTATCATGGTTGTTGTAACATGAAGACATCTTATTATTTATTTGCCAAAAACGTGTCCTCCCAACAGATTAGCAATCTCATTGCTAGCTGGGCCACACTGAAGTTGTGCAAAAGTGTTTCCATTCTATGCTGGCAGCTGGGCTCCAGTTATCCTGCTGCAGGACCATCCCTTCCCATCTGGTTGCTGGGTACAGCCATTTCCATGGCCAGTTTTTCCATGGCTTCCAGAGGGACTGGACACATCACCAGTGCAACTTGTATATGTGAGCATAGTGCATTTATGGGCTAACATATCAACCTAATCTAATCAAGCTAATGGAACATTTAGTCTTCATGAGATCAATATTCCCATTGAGAAAGGTGGCAACCCCCATTCTCAGTCAGTGGTGGGATTCAAGTAATTTAACAACCGATTCTCTGCCCTAATGATTTATTTCAACAACCAGTTTGCCAAACTGCTCAGAAAGTTAATAACCGGTTCTCCCAAAGTGTTGTGAACTGGCTGAATCCCACCACTGTTCCTCCCCCCCCCCCAAATGTTTTAAAGATTATCTGGAGTAGTGCTTTTCCTTTAAAACATTCCCATCTTTTTACATAACTTGTTGTTGGAGAGAGACTGGTGCTCCTTGATTTTTAATGTTGAGGAAAGGGTACTGCCTCACCCATTTGTGACAAATAACAAGGAAGAATTACCAGTGCTTGAAAGAATCTAAACTATTTTGACTCTTGGGCTGTACACTTTTTGGTGGGACATTATTTCTGCCTCCTCTTTGCAAAGCCTTGAAGGACCTATAGTTGCAGTCCGGCCAAGAGTTCCTATTGGTTGTAACCAATGGTGAAATCTAAAATTTGTTACTACCAGTTCTGTGGGAGTGGCTTGGGGGGGGTAATGTGACTGGGTGGGCGTGGCCAACTTTTTTTCCTTTTAAAACCATTTTTTCTACATTTTTCGGCAAAGAGGTTGTAGAAAAAATGCTTTTAAAAGCCTCTGACAATCCCAGCTGAGCCGCGAGATCATCAGAGGCTTTTTTTTTTACTTTTAAAAGCATTTTTTCTGCTGAAGAGGTTGTAGAAAAAATGCTTTTAAAAATAAAATAAAAAAAGCCTCTGATGATCGCGCGGCTCAGCTGGGAATGGGGGGGCAGGGATTTTTGCTACCGGTTCTCCGAACCACCCGCCTCCATTGCTACTGGATTGGGCGATCCGGTCCGAACCAGGAGCATTTCACCCCTGGTTGTAACTCAGTCTATCCCAGCATACTGCAGAACAACCTGGGATAAATTAACCCACCAACTGACCAGGGGTGGATTCTACTTACCTTTACTACTGGTTCACAACAGGGCCGCGCACATGCACAGAAGCATTTTGATGACATCGGGGTCGGTGGGTGGAGCCTCCCACCGGTTTTACTACCGGTTCTATAGAACCGGTGCGAACCAGGGGCAACCCACCCCTGCAACTGACCCTTCGTCTTCCCCACAATAGCTTTAGCATTCCCAAGAGACCACAAAGGTTTAGCACTTCTTCTATACATCAGTCAATTTTTCCACATCTTACCTTCTTAGCAGCTGCCTAGCCTTCTTTAGATAATCTTTCTATCATTGCCTGCCCTGAACCAAGTCACCAAATGACCACTCAGCCCAGAAAATACAGATTCTGAGCTATTCCCACCCATCCAAAAAAATCAGAGGTACATGGCTTGATGTGAGGGGTAAGGACTTCAGGGATGCCTTAAAACCTCCCCATGTTCCAATGTGTGCAGGCTAGAACACTGACCAGTCCTGTTTTTGAAGCATAGTAAAGACAGATTCTAGAAACAGTGTTTTTCATAACAACGTATTTTCCTCCTGAGTCAAAGAAGGGAAGAATGATCTGAGGAAGTTAACCTCAGGTCTGTCTTAGTAGGCTTAGCCCAGCTTTGATATATATGCAAATCTTTCTGATCTTGTTCCTGTGCAGTTTGTTGGGGCTCTTTTTCATATTTCTTTACAATTTCTAAAAACAAAGATTACAGCTGAAACAATTTCATATATTTTTCTCATTGTCATTGCTGCCCACCTCTATTTCTCTTTCTTTCATTCTTACAATACTGCCTCCTCCCACACCTTCTACCTTTCTTAGGGGGAAAAAAGAAAATATAGCCACATATTAGTTGGGCAGCATTTAAGCTAGTAGAAGAGAAGGCTGTCTTCCAAAGACAGTTAGGAAAGCCCACGCCTCTAAAATAATTTTTTTCCCTACATTTTTAACAGTTGCAGACACTAGTTGACTTCCAGTGCTTCAGAAATTGCCATTTTGCTACCCTTCTTACCCAATAAACAAAATGGCTAACAGAAGCTTTTACACTGGATTCAAGCCAAAGGAAACTATGCTTCCTACTTTTGTACTGAGTCCCACTGATTTGAATGTCTTAGTCCCAGAGAAGTATGCTTAGGATTTCCAATCCTGTTTCATCAGCAGGCTAACTCTAGATCGCCTTCGTAAGCCCAGCATGAATCAGGGTCTGGCATACACAGGAACTCTGCTTGGATGGAAAATTCCGATTTTCCAGAGTCCCATTAAACTAGCTGGCCTGTAATTTCCAGGAACCTTTTTTTTTAAAAAAGGTTTCCATTTAGCTGTTAGCTCTGAGGATGTATTACAATTTTTATTTGACCAAGTTTCTCATTACAGTTCTTTGCTAATAATAATCTTGTATAGTATTTCTCCTACTATTTTCCCTCTACAAGAAAGTCCCACCAAAGCTGTAACCTAAAAAAACCAAGCTATCATATATTCAGTTACCAAAACATCCAGAACAAACCAGCATGGCACCAAAGTGAAGATACTCCTGGAAATAGTCTGTACTTTTTTATTTGCTTTATATATTTATACTATTTTTAAAAACAATCCACTCAAACACTCACACAAACACTCCTCCCTTTCACTGATCCCAGTAAAGCAGGAAACCGAGATGTCAAACTGTATGCCCCAGAGCAAATGTCCCAGAATCTCTTCAGAGAATTTAAGCGGCCATTTGATGCCAGATTTGCTTCCACACAGGCTACCACAACCATCTGTTGGTGCAAATGTAATTTAAACATCAGCCATTTCATGGCTCCTTAAAAATGCATTCAAGAAAAGAAAAGTAAGGAGAGAGGGAGAGGGAGGGAGGGAGGGAGGGAGGGAGGGAGGGAGAGAGAGAGAGAGAGAGAGAGAGAGAGAGAGAGAGAGAGAGAGAGAGAGAGAGAGAGAGAGAGAGAGAGAAGAGGGGGGGAAAAGTAGCGTTCAAAATAGAGAAGGTATAAACAAAATTACCAGAGAGGAGAAGGGGAAAGGAGCTGTAAGAAACACAAGAAGAAAATAATGGGAAGGCAGAACCATTTACACAGGGACAAGGTTGCACAGAAATACATCTGGATTGAAGAAGAAAGCACCAGACGTGGGACACCTGTTTCAACTCCCCAGCCAGCAGTTCTGTCAGTTTGATTTAGACCAGATCTTTGCACTGCCTCGGAGCCTGCAGAGAAGAAGAAAGCCTTGGAATGAGGACCAGCAGAAGTTTAACCCAAATGCTCAAGACAAGGGCTTTATAGACTCTATAGGTAAATTGCTAGAGCCCCAATGTAAGGGACTGATGAAACAGCTCAGGCAATGTTCTGCTTTTCTGTCCCATCTGCAGAAAAGCAATAGCCAGCCTTCACTGGAATGCTATCTCACCCTTTGCCCTTGGAGGCCTTCTTGCTAGCCTGGCGCTGGTTGGTACCCGGTGCGGGCTCCCGGAGTTCTGACAAATGCTGCTCAGGGTCTTGGGAGGTTGCTGCTGCTGCAGCTGCTGTTGTCACCTTAATTGTCTTCTTCAGATTTGCCACCTGCCGGGTGAAAAGAAAATGAGGGAAAAGAAACAAGGAACAGTTCCAGCTCCAAAGACAGGAAGGGTTCCCTAACACAATCATCCTGGAAAAATCTCACTAGGCATTCTCCATCCAGGTCTTAATTTAAAAATCCCATCTGGGGGCCCGTTTTGCCAAGGTTTCAGTGGATGCCTTCCAATGTGCTGCATTCAACTGGAGAGTTGAGGATGTGATTATGAAAACCACACTGTTGAGATTTCTCTCCCCTCCTGCTGACTCATACAGTTTATTAACAATACTTGTAGATCACCCCAGTGCTAATAGATTCTGGGTGTGAACAACAAAGCACAGAACCAAAGAAGAAATTATAAACTGTACATAATATAAGCAACAAATGAATGAAATGTATGAGCCAGGAAGTTACAGATATCTAGAATAATATTTTTCTCACATTGTTCATTAGTCTAAATAATTAATTTCTCCAGCAAAATAAGGATAGGCACTTGATTGTATAAAAGCTTTGCTGACTATGCTATAGATTGATTTGGAGAATAAAATATTGCTCAGATGAAATGTATTTTTTATTTTTAATATTAGTAGAGTTGTATTATGCTCAGTTTTCTGAACAAATAATAGTCACAAACTTTATCCCATAGCTCCCAGACCTCTAATAATTAAAGTATATTTGTGGAGAATTAAACTGGAGCATTTTCTCTTTTCCTACGTGACAAGAACTTTATCAGAGCATGTAAAGCAGACAAGGACCACTTTCATTGGCTCAAGGCCAGCTCTGGGTTTTATATGCCTTGTCAAGCATTAATACTCCAAAAATGGCAGGTTCTGGGAAGAGGTTTTAGGTGCTTTAATGGCCAAGCAAAATAAATACCTTAAATATCTGAAAGCTCCACATACACACTTTGCCCTCTTAAAACCTCCTAAATTCTGAAAACACACCTCTGCTTATTCTTTCAGTGTTTTCTAAGCCTGGAATAACGATGCACATCAAAATGCAACAACTAGCAAAATGGATAATTTGGTAATGCTTGGTAATAATTAAAGGTTCACCCACATTCAGTATAGAATTAAATGGCTAAAAGGCAAATTAACCATGTAAAAATGAAAGAATCGTCTCCATGGAGAGGTGGACAAAGGTTTTTTTAAACAATAAATCTAATCATGTCTGTCATCCAGGTTAAAATTGCTATGATTAGCTAATAAAACATAATTCTGAATGGAGCTAATGTGACCATATTTTAAGAGTACCTTTCTGCATCTCACTTCCAAAAATGTTATGTTAAATATTTTTGGTAAGATTTGAATGATGATCATAGAATAAGTATTATAATCATCTCTTTAAAGACAATATTCACAGGTTAGTTTTAGATCCAGTTTTACTATTTGTGAGAATTGACTTTTATCAAGTTATATCTTGGAACTTAACAAAAACAAGAAAATGCCTTACATGGAGTCAGAAGTGGTATTACTGTATCTATTAAGCAGCAAGTAAGAAATGTCAGATACAGAAAACATGGAATTGACATTTTCAGTCTATTGTTGCACGAATTAATCTCATCTAAAGTAAGCAAGATAAGTCTACTGGAAGCATATTTATTAATTACACTTGCCTCAATTTCAAAGACTGTAAACACAGTACAAGAGCAATAGCAAGAAAATGACATAGCAATTGAACAAATAAAACTTTAAAAAATAATATAACCACAAGTATAATAGTAACATACATAGTAGGACTTAATGAATATAATAATGAAATCCAAAGCCCTTCCAGAACAGCCAAGGTTTTTACAACCTTCTGGAAAGCAAAGGGGGCACAAGCTATCCTTCCTTGGGGGGAGGAGGGGGGCAAACTATTGCAAAGGAGTGGAGCTACCCAAAGAATGCCTATTTTGGGGGGCCCTCCCACTTTACCTCCCAGAAGGAGGTGACTTACAACAGGTCTTCTCTGTCCATTTAGGGGTTTATAGGCAATAACCCAAAACATTTGAATTGAACTTGGCAAGTTGCTGGTAGGGTTTATGTTCCTACATCAGCTTGATAGAAAATTGCCTTGCTGAGGCAATCAGGGGCAATCTTAATGAGTCTCTGGAGGCTACAGGTGGCCACAAGTTGCCTACTTGAGCTAGACCAGAAATGTAGAAAACCAGCAGAGGCTGTCAGGTGTAATGGTGAAGTCAGTTGGAAACTGGGAGGGGGGGGGAGAAAGCTGTGCATTGATTGCAGCCCTGCCCCTCACCTCACTCTCAATCTGCTGCTTCAGGCCCAGCTGCTGCTCTTTGTGTTGATTGGCTCGGCTAACTTGTTCTTCAATGCTTGAAAGGACAACTTCGCAGCCCTGGCACCTGGGAAGGACCAGTAAAAGTTGAACAAGCAGGAGACCAACAAAGCAACTAAGAGAGCAAACAGCATTTAGGAGAAGCTCATAAATCTTAAGACTGGGAGATCTGAAAGAAAGACTGGCTCATGGGCATCCAAGGATGGGAGAACCAACAAGGAAAGGTGCATGATAAATGTCGTGCAAATCTCATGACTTAAGTGCTTGCATCAGATGTTGAGACCCAAGCACTTAATGGCAGCATCCACTTGATGATGATGTCTCTCTCTGTGTATTTTAGCATTGTTGTATTTTGTGCTGTAGACCCCATTGGAGAGACTTCAATTGAAAAAGGGTGTACAAAGTGTTCTCATAGCAAGGGAAGAAGTGAGAGGGGTAGGAGAAATAGTCCTGGGAAAACGAATCCACAGGCATCTGTACTTTGGCAAGATTACCGCACAGGCATACAACTCTCTTCCCACCAGTGAAAAGTGTTTTTCTAAGAGTAGGATCAAATTGAATGTATACCAAGATTTTAGAGATACAGAAAAAATGTAAAGAATCTTGGCTTTCACTTTTAAAAGAAAAAAAGTGGTTGGCCCTAAAAGCAAATTTCTAGTTTATGGAAACATTTATTTACAATGTTTTGCGACATTTGATAAAACTCATACATGATGTAGGGGAGGTATATTTTTTATCAACAGAGAATATCTCTTCAAAGTTCCCGATTGCCTCTTATCCTAGTTTTAAGGTTCATAAAAGTAGAATAAATTGTGTTAGTTGGTGTAACCTATTGACCAATTCATGGGGCACAAAATTCTGGTACCGGTATTAATACTGCATACAGGTAGTCCTCACTTAACCACCTTTTGTTCAGCGATCATTTGAACTTACAACAGAACTGAATTAAGGGCCCATCTAGATTTACAACTGTCCCCCTTGCCACCAATTTCCCCCCCCTTCCTCCCCACAGCTGATCTTCATCATTGCCTTTGCCTGCCTCCCCTCTGCTGGGTTGACTATCCTGGCATGGACAGGGGATTGTGCTGTGGAACTGTTCCACAGACTGGTGGGTGAGTGCTACAGGCAGACAGGTCTGTGCTGTGCCTCATGCCACTGCTAGCAGGGTCCTTCTTTTGGGAACTGGCCAGGGCTTCCCTTTGAGGAGGAAAGACTTGGCCAGCATGTAGAAGGTGGCCAGTGCAAAAGAAGGATCTGGCTGATGCACGAAAACTTGCCCTGGCTGGTTCATGAAAGGAGAACCCAGCCAGCAGTGGTGCAGTGTATACTGTGACAAGCAGGGTTGGGCAGTGGGAGGCAGCTAGTGACAGCTGTCAAAAGGGCAGAGCTGGAGAAGAGCTGGGTGGATGGAGGAAGCTGAAGGGGAGGCAATCACTTATCATCTTCCAAAATTGGCTAGGATCTATGTGCAATTTGGTCAACAACAGGTGGGATTGCTAGAACTGCTGTCAACAAGCAGAGGGGGCCCCTTGAGGTTTTGCTTAATGACAGAGTTGCCAATCCCAATTAGGGTTATTAAATGAGGACTATTTTATATAAGTGATAAAAAGCGCTTTGTTCATCCTTGCCAAATGGTGTGATGCTGATTAGGGGATTGCAGTCCCGAATGGGGCCCCACGATCAGCACCCATTTGACTTCTTTCCACATATGCAGCAGAGCCTAAGGTCGTCTGTTGGACTTCTTTGACTTTGTTAAGAAGTATCCTCCCCAGTTTTCATAGGATCAAAGTCTTCCTTACCATTCTTGGAGCGTGCGGGTAATGATACTGAGCTCCTCCCTGCGGATGTCCCGGCCAATGCTATAATCCACCTCTAACCGCTGGTTGCGCTGGTCTAGGCTCCCTCGGAGAACATCGGCATACACTGCCTCAATCACCAAATCCTCCAGTTGCCGCACATTCTTCAGTTGGAGCTGCTCCAACAGTACAGAATAGGGGATGCACTGTGGAGGCACACAAGCTGGTGTTAAGTACAACATTCGTTTGTTTGTTTGCATTCATTAGCCACCCAATTCCAGAGGACTTCTAAACCAGGGGTCTCCAACCCTGGCAATTTTAAGCCTAGCGGACTTCCAGAAGCAAAGCTGGCTGCGGAATTCTGGGAGTTGAAGTCCACCAGGCTTAAAGTTGCCAAGGTTGGAGACCCCTGTTCTAAACAATGAGCAGAATAGGTAAGAAAAGGATAGGTAGGCTACCTTCAGCTTGGAAGCCAAGGTGACCACAGACAGGTGGCGCAGTTTGTTCTTCTGAGCTTCTGTCAAGGGAGGCAGATTCCCAGCTTCAGCTGTTCACAGACCAAAACAAAAAGGAATATTCCTTCAAATTCCCACTAGCATCACTGGATAAGATCCCATCCATTTTTTATACAATTAATCATTCCTCCAATTTTTTCCTACTTCTCATGACAGATTCAGACACCCTATATCCAGCCCCATTTTTTTCTCCTCCTTAAATAGAATAGAAACTTTTAAGTCAAACAGTCAAAATTTACTTAGACAACATGCACAGCGTTTACACAAATGTCTAGTAATCTTATACAATTTCTTCCTTCTTTGGGGGGGTCTAGAGTTTAAACATACAAATTAGCCACTTAGACATTTTCAAAACCAATGGACTGATTCCGAGACCACACTCTCCCAGTAAAAATAAAAATTTGGTGCCAACCGCAGGGTGGCCCTCTCCTTATGCACCACAAATACTCTCCATCCATTGGGACATCCTCCAAAGATCATGGATAACAAACAGAAGACTACAGAAAGCAGGATAAAGGAGTAAGGCAATTACACATTATAGGCCACCCTCAGTCTTCTTTTAATGTCCAGCAGCTATTTCTCAACTCCATGAAATTTTTAGTCCATAACTCCTGATCCTAGAGAGGAGGGCTTCAGCATTGAATGACTTCATATTATCCAAACCCTGCTATGAAGCATTGCTTCATTTCTGTTTTCTTGGCTCTTCCATCTCTATTGGCAATTTTCTCTACCATTCCTGTTTCTTAAGGAGAAAATAAGACATACCCAGGTAATCTGAATACGTCCCATATGCAAAGACTGTAAGCAGGCGAAAAATAGGTGAGAACTCACTTTCAGCTAGCTGTAGAGGGAGAGGAAATAACAACAGTTATTTGAGAAACGACTAAAAAAACCTTCTTTTTTTTTTGTTCATGGAATCTTTCACACTGGAATAATTTTACTTGGTTATTAAAGAAACTTACTTTTCTCTTTGTTTTTCCCACACACAGAAAACACAAACCCATAGCGAGCAAGAAGTAAATGTTAATTGCCCACTTTGTGAACACGTACACCCCAGGTAAACAATAGATCTGACTTTCACCAATATGATGAGCCTCTGCCCACTCTGTACCACTCAAGAAAATTATGGAGGAATTGATATAATGTACTATTTTGCCTCAGATTAAAAATCCCTGACAGAAAAATATTGGATAGGGAGAAATGTTCTAGCTAGCCTATTTGCTCTTAGACATACAGCACTAGTTTTATGTATGGAGAGTTGTTATTGTTAGGTCTATTTAATGTTATGAGCCTCCATCTGTCATCCCAAATGGTATAATCATGTATAATTTTAGTACAAACAATTTCATGGAAAATCTTTAAAACAGCCTGTTTGTTTCCTTCCGTGCAGTGCTCTTGTGGTGGGAATGCTGCAGTTTACAGATGTTCAAAATCCAACATAAATATCTAAGAAAAAAAAATGTATCTCAGACATAAAGGAAGGTTACTGGGTAATTTTGCAGCACATTTACCAATCCATCTAGCTTCTCTCACAAAAATGTGTTATAGAAAAAAGGTAGGAATTTTATAAACATCACCAAAATCTGTCTATTATTCAGGTCATTGACACTCAGAGGTTTGGCAGACTTCACAAAAGCCAAGATTGCATGCTGGATTTAAAAAATTAACCCTTTTAAGTTCCCATATTCCACTGAATAAATCATCTACCATAAGTGAAATACAGGGTTATTTTCCTCCATAAATCCACTTGGACTGCTATAGTTTGGGAACCACAGATTTCAAACCACTATGTTTCATGACAGAAGGAAGAGATAAGGTTTTTCATATTTTTAGTAAAGTTGAGGGCCCCACACTATTTCCTTCTTTATTGTCATTCTAAGCCTTTCTTTACTTATAGAAAAATTGGCCTATGAACCAAAAATTAGAGGAATTCCGTGCAAGGGCCTATGACATTACTTTTCTTTCTACACTTTTTTCCATCGTGTAATCACCAAATATTTTAATTAAAGGTATACATTTTTAGGGAGATTCATGCCTTTATGAAGGATTGGGAAGCATTCAAAGAGACACATCCCATTTAAAGGTGGTACTGGGTAGATCTATTACAAAATATATATTTACCTGGAATAAATACTGGCGTTTTAAAATTCAGCATAAAGAAAGATCAGGCAATTTGTTAGCCTGAGCAATTAAATCCCAGAAAAATCCTAAATGACTTTAGAAAACCAGTGGATTACCAAATTCAGTATGAAAAGCATTCACTTAAAAGCAATTTTATTCAGAGCTTCAATAGAAAGAAGACTAATCTCCATTCAGTACTGCTACACAAGAATTTGTCAAAGGAAGTCAGACAGAAACCTGAAGCTGCTCATCTATAGAGCAGAAATACATGTTTCAAAGGATGGGTGAACTGATGGTTCCGCTTTAAAGCATAATCTGTGACTTAAAATTATCCTAAAGTAATTATAATAGCAAAGCAGTGCTAAGAAAGGCTGCCTTGCAGAACAGAGGCACCAGAGGTCATATAAACCTAGAGAGGATGAGGACCTGCTATTTTCCATCCGGGAAGGCTGTACGATACAACTGAGGGCTTCACCCCATGAGTCTCAGTGCTCACCTCTTGAACATTTGGCATATCAAGCAGCTCTCCAAAAACATAAATACCGGGGGCTTCCAGCACTTGATGAATGAGGCTGGCCAGAGCAGCTCCACGGGCAGATCTTGCCAGCAGCAGAAACTGCTCCTGATTCTGCCCAGACACCTTCACTTCAGCTGCCATTGGGCTAGCAATCAGAATGGTTCAGGACTTGCAGCCCCCACCACCTAAAGGAATAAACAAGTGTAACAACTGGAGCTTCTCATATGATCCTGGAGCAATAGAAAACTATTGTATCACTGGGATATTTATTTATATTATTTATACATCATGTAGGACCAAACAAACAAACAAATAAAGGATTTGGGCAACTCATAAAATCAAAAAGCCCCACTACTACAATAAAATACAGTATAATGAAATGCAGTGGTGAACTTAACAGGCTATGAGTACACATTCACACATATATTTAAGATATGAATACATATATATTCAGAATATGAAAATACACAGAAATATACGACACTTTGGAGCAGCCAATTCCTGATATACCTGCTCGGTGTCTAACGCACTATCAGTTCCAGGACACAACTTAGTGTCGATAATTTAAGACAGCAGAAAGCGTCCCTTCTCCGGCTACTTTTTAAGTAACTCTCTCCTAAAAAAAATCAAAGTTGTTTAACTCTTGGTTCAGATGAACGTCTCTGGGCACACTCAAGGCTGGGCATGAATGTAGCAAGTGTAATTCTACCTAACTGTCAGGGTGAGCAGGGCCCGGGACACGGGCCAGAAAAGAAGAAGTAACAGAGAGCAACGAAGCGTTTTATGGACCAAACAAGGGGAGAAAAAGGATCAGCTTCAGCGGAAAAGAAGCTGCGGCAGGGAAGAAGAGAGAAGCGCGGGAGAGCCGGTCCCAGGAAAGCAGACCCATCTTCAGGTCACGTTGGCAAAAAAGCGAGAGTGATTGAGAGCAAGGGAAAGTGCCTCTGCTGCTGCTGCTGCTGAGTCTCCCCACCAGGGACGCCCATCAGATCCAACCGGGCTCCATCAGTGCCCCAGAGCAGCCCTGCCTGCCTGCCTGCCTGCCTGCCTGCCTTCCTGGCTGCCTACCTGAGGGTCCCCTTCCCGCTGGGAGCGGCTGCTGGGAAAACCTCCAGCCAAGAGCTCTCGACCACTTCCGGGTTGGTGGCGTCACAGCTGCCCCTCAAACCCCGCCCCTTTGACCTCTCATTGGCCAGCTCCCTCCTAGGAGGGCGGGACCTCACGGCGAAAGCTTTCTAAGCGGGTGCTGGGCTCTCCGGGCCGGTCTTAGCGCTTCCCTCGGGCCGAGGATCGCTGACGGTGCCAGCCGTGCGGCGGCCACGGGCCACTCTCCCCCTTTTCAAAACTCTCCCCTGATCTCCCCGAGGTCCAAGCCTCTCTGACTGCTGCACGCCCGCAATAGTCAGAAGCCTTACTTCTGTGTGCCTGGCCTTCACCGACGTTATACGACGTCAACTTTGATTCATCGTCTCCGACAAGATCAATCAATCTTCTGAAATCACACCGTGGTCTCTTATCCCCGGGGCGGGCGATTGTAAAAAGAAAGAAGCAAGCTTGCTTCGGAACAAAACCCACACCTCCATGACCATAATAAAGAGGTTTTTTGCCTCTGGCTTCCAATTAAAATGAAGAGCTTGGTTCGAGAGAAGAATCTCGTGGAAGGGATGCGACATACGGTTCTGCCACAGGCGCCCTCCGGCCCACCTCTGGGGAGGGGTTTTGAAAACAAAGCTGAATAACTCAGAAGGGATGGATGGGTTGCATTTTTTTCAGGAGATCCTGACATGAAGAGGTTTTTTTTTTTAATGTTACTCATTGAATTTATATCATCGTTTTAGGTGCACACTGCCTTCTACGCCAGAAAGTCAGAGAAACGTGAGCAAGGATGGAAAGCACAGAAAGATCATGTGATTATTTTATTTACCTGTGTTTTGTTTTACCGGTAGCCTTTCCAGTAGGAAAAATGGAGAGGGTGGGGAGGCTGGGGAATAGAGGCATCCAGTGAGGAAGGCCTGCATCTTTTGAAACTGAGAAAAAGATAGGAAGTTTTGAAAAGAATGGGAGCATCGTCTCACCCCTTTTTATCTTGGATTTCCCAAATACAATACAATATTTCAGCATTCATGGAACTGATTGCAACAATTATTTTAGCAGTTGAGGTGATTCCAGGTAAAATTGGGGGGGGGGGAGGAACCTCAAGAAAGTAGTAGTTGCAACTAAAACTATAATTGTGCATACTGTGTTTCTAATCATGCCTGATGGGTAGATGTTTCAGCAGAGATCATTCCCCACTGTCAGCCTTAATGGTATCAAACATTTGCTGCCTGAGGCTGCTTGTCTTGATCTGCTGAGTGGTCAGGCAATCTTTGACCGTCTTTGCGCATGCATGGGTATGCCCACTGTCCTCTTGAGAAGATATATTTGGCATAAACACCCAAATCAAATGTGAATTCAAATGAATGACTCCTTGATTTCTCTCCCAACATGGCAGTCTCTTGCTAATTCTGGTGCCATCTCAAATACCAGCATATCTAGTCTAGCATGAGGTTTCAAGAGCTGGTTTCATCAGGGAGGCCAAAAGGCCATAGCAATGCAAGAGACTGCAATATATTTCTCACATTACTACATAGACACAAATGAGGAACCTTTCAGAGGAATAAGAGGTTCCAATAGAGCAAGCATCAATTTTTATTGCCTTTGGGTGGGTGGGTTGGTTTATTATTTCAGCTGGGGTGTAATTGGGGGGGATTGCTTATCACTTACTGTCATCTAATTCTAATGGGATTGTACCCATTTCATTGTTATGATTGCAACTTGCTGAAATAAATAATCCAATCAAAGTGGCTGTGACCTATGTAAATGTGGGCGGCATTCACAGACAGAAGAATAAAGACATCATTTTACTGTGGTGAGGCAGCCTTTCTCAGTCTAAAGTTAAACGAAGACCAAGTTATCCATTCTGTAAGAAATCCAACTCAGTTGCTTCGCTCTGGCATTTTCATTAGAAATTTGTTCTGGAAGCATGATAGCTTTATGATACACTCTGCTTGATTTAAGAAACAAAGTTTTCCATACTATTTTTAAATGCTACCATTTTTTAAAAAAAAATTCTTTGCTTGTACCAAAATAAATCATTCTTTCACTTTTCACATTTCAGTAATCCTTAAAGGAGGCACCTTGCAAAACCAGCAGCTTTGTAAAGGAAATTTGGAAAGTCATACCAAATAAAACATACTTTGAAAGCTGGGCCTTTTCCAAGTGGTCATATGCATGGCTACTTTGCATTCAAACATCTATTTGGGAGAGGGGGGATAACATATGACTTAATAATGGACTTAGCTATTTGCAAGTAGATGTAAAATTGCCCCAGGAAATTTAGAATTTATTATGCTAGAATATTGCTAAATCAGGATAAAGCAAAATCAAAGTGGTTTGATGAATACTCAGAAAGACTTTTTGTGATACTGTAATCACTGCATCTTCCTTAGCCATGGGAAATTCATCCAGTGGCTTGAACAAGTCATCATCCTGCCTTCTATATGACTTGACATAAAGCTATATTTTGTGGAAGGCAAAGTACAGATGTGATGACCAGAGCTGGCGCTGCCACGCAGCAGGAGAAAATGACTTGTTTTCTGAGTGATATAAGCTGTAATGGGGCATACGTTTTGATCATCATTTCAGGCAGCAAAATAATTTGCTCACTATGGATAGCCAGATACCAGAGAGTGTTGTTACTATTTTTCACAAGCCTTTTATTTGCAGACAAGAATAAGGCATAGTGATACTGAAGATCAGAGATTTCTGTCTAGTTGGATGGAAATATTTGCCAGAAAGCAGCCTTCTGTAATACAGCTGGTCTTTGGCTAACAACAGTTTGTTTAGGGACCATTCAAAGTTACAATGGCACTGAAAAAAAGTGGCTTATGACCATTTTTCATACTTACGACCATTGCAGCATCCCCATGGTCAAATCCCCATGATTTATATTCAGATGCTTGGCAACTGACTCATATTTATGATGGTTGAAGTGTCCTGGGGTCATGTGATCACCTTTTGCAACCTTCTGACTAGCAAAGTCAGTGGGGAAGCCAGATTCACTTTACAACTGTGTCACTAACTTAACAACTGCAGTGATTCACTTAACAACTGTGGCAAGAAAGGTCATAAAACGGAGTTAAAAACTCACTTAACAAGTTTCTCACTTAGCCACACAAATTTTGGGCTCCATTATGGTTGTAAATTGAGGACTACCTGTTTGTCAGAGACAGTGATAGGGTCATAAAGTCTTTCTTTCTTCACTGAAGTATGAATTTATGCTGCTATCCACTTATCTTTCGATCTGTAGGAACTATACTGGCATGGAATCTGTGGTTCCCAGATACTATTATGTCTGTTCCCAGGACTTGCTAGTCACCTAGCTTCCCTCCAAAGCAACAGGTGACAAAATTTAACAAATTGGACATTGCCTTGGGACAATGTCAGAATAAGAAAATGTGTGCTATGGTACTTATAGTACTACAATGCTGGGACAGCTAAGGAGGATTTAAGCCTGTTTCCGCCAGGACTGTGATTGTGCCATGGTTAGGTATTGGAGACACACCTATATAATCTATGAAGAAGATAGATTTGCTTCCTATCAAATAAGGCAGCGGTTCTCAACCTGGGGTCGCGACCCCTTTGGGGGTCGAACGGCCATTTCACAGGGGTCGCCAAAGCCCTCTCCCCCCCCACGCCTTCACTCACCCTCACTCTCTGCCTCTGTTGGATCGCCAGCCGTTCGCTTACCCTGCCCACTCCCAATCTATTGCTGCCTCCTGAGTCCCAGCTGATGGCTAGAGGGAAAAAAAGGGCCACCCTACAGCTGATCAGTGTTAAAAGAAAACAAATGAGTAGACCGGTGCCTGCAAAAATAGAAAAAACAGCCCCTTTCAGCTTCAGGATAGGTTAATTAGCACAAGTTGATTAGATCAGCCTCGACTCTCAGCTGATTTGCTCTCAGCTGTTTTGCGGAGGGCTCTGTTGCTAGCTGCAAAAAAATCTCGAGCAGATTTTTTCCTCCCTAGCTATGCTGAAAAAATGAAACTGAAAGTAAAACAGGGTCTTTGCTGCAACGTGACAAAATGAGGCAGAGAGAGATTTCTTTTTCTTTTTCCTCAACAAAAAAAGGTAGGTGCAAAACTGCAAACAATGGGAAATTTAGGGCAAAAAGGAGGTTCAAGATTTTAAAACACAAAAGAAAAAAAGCTCTATTTAACTAGAGAATTGTAATAATTGAGATACTATTAATTGTATATTGGGTTGAAAGCAGAAATAACCATTCCTCCAAACCACAACCAATAAGTTGTGGTTTGGAGGAATATATGGGGGAAATTATTTGGTTTATTATTATTGGTAAATATAATTAATTGATTTGTAAGAAATTGGATTGCATGGAAATAATTGGAATATTCATGTTCATATTGATTAATATACAAAAAAGATAGTTATATAACTAATTGATTTATATTAAAATGTTGAATTTGTATTAAACAACTGTATTACATAATTACATAATTAACCAATGTGAGGATGGATATAAAAATAGTTGACAATGCGAAGGGGTATCATATAGAATAGAAGGGAAAAATTGAATTTGATTAAGATTAGAGATGAGAATGAAGGGTAATATTGGTTTTTTAAAAAAATAGATGAGGAATAAATATGGCAAAAAGGAAATATAGAAATTGTAAATTTAATTGAAATGACTAAACACTGTTTAAATTTGTGAACCGGCCAAATACTCTGTTCAAAGTAAATACATTGTATGTTTATATGTGTGTTTCTAATTATTGCTATTTATTCATATTTGTTCTCTTTTATTCTTTAAAGTTTAAAGAACATTCTTTATCTTAATATCTTCATATTTGTTTGGGGTTGGTTTTCTTCCCTTTCATCTTTTTTATTGTACAGCAATCTTTCTCCTCAAACCTACCACCTCTCTCTTTTCTTTCCTTCTTACTTTCTCTTCCCCCCTTCTCCTC